ATCGCTAGTGTTATGAATCCAAATATATTCCCAAGGCATAATGAAAGAAGTAGTAGTAGTAGTTTGTCGGATTGTGGAACTCCTTGTGTCGCAAAATGATAAAAATGATGAATGCATTTGTGATGAATTATCAAAATGATGACTATTAACGTTGATATACCATATATCATTCCTGGCAGTGGGTCTTCACTATTAGAATCATTTGTCATTGATTTATTGCTCTCCAATGTTGTTAAGTTGTCATAGCAATCAATGTTGTCACACATTGTCCTATATTTGCACTGATTTGTCAACTTGACTTCACTTTTTGATCACATCTTCAATTATTTTTCAAATCTTCAACACATTCAAAGTGCATTATGTTTAAGAACTGGTAACTATTCTCCCTCTTGACTAGATACCAGTTTTATTCATCTTTTGTCCATCAGTCCAAGTATATACATATCTATTTTATTTTTATATAATATATTTAAAGAACTATGCTTTTAGTTTTATAAACCTTCATTTTATTTTGCAGGTACAAAGTGAACCATTCATTTTTTATTGTCTTCTGCTCACCAAAACAATGTTAAATGTACCTGTTTGTCTAATTTTAATTGCATCATTATAAAAGGCTGAAACAACATCAGTTTTACAATACTTTAGATGATGCAATGAGTGATGTTTACTTGTAAATGTGTAGAAGTACACCTTGATGGGTAGATTATATTGGATAGGATATCATAAAATTTTGCTTTCTGTGTCATTACCAAAACAAATAATTTGTTGTCAGACCTTTTAGTTCACACTTCCATTTAGCCGTCCAAATTTGAATATAAAGTCGATTGTATTTAAACTTGAGTCCATATATTGTTTTAAATTTACTCTGTAACAAAGTCATCGCAATACATGTTTGTAATAATTAGATGATGCTTTTAGAGATGCTTAATAGTTAATATGAAGAGGTAGACATTTGAAGAATTGATGGATTATGTTTGTATTGATGATCAAGTTGCTATTAGCGATAATTGTTTCTATTATATATGATGTCAGTCTGACCAGTTTCAAAAAGTTACGCCATCAATATAGATTACAAACCTTTTACTTCTCTTCCCTTTAGTGTCTGTTTTTTTTATATCAGCACATCATATGAATCATGTTTATAAATGCACTTGTAAAACATTTTATGCTTTTAGTACTTAATGTCTACAAAGTTGTATTGACTCTAAATTTTGATTTGAATAAACATGTGATCCCATATAACATAAAAAATGTATTTTCCAAAGAATAAACACAGAAACTCCCAAAGTTTAGGCATTTGGCTAACACTACCATTGACATAATGCATCCTGAAATAATGTTTGGAAAGTGCCAATTTAACGATTTACAGAACACAGCAAGAAGAAAAATCTAGCATCTTGCCTACATCTCGTCCATATCAAAAGGTCAACATCAACATTTTGTTTTGTTAATTAATACATTATTTCATTATGAAACCAGTTTAACATGTAGGTTAAACATGACAATGTTGAAAACATGTACAACAGTACAATATATTTTGACAAATGAATAAACGCATGGAGCACACCGCGTCTCGAACTCGCAACCTCGTGGTTACGGCGCCGAATCGCCTAGCCTGAATGTGCTGGCGCCTAAGCCCTCTCGGCCAACTCGACAAACCAAAAAAAGTTGTTTTGTTAGTCGATCTGACTAGGGGCAGCTGATGTTTACGCTCAAACACACCAGAGGAAGCACAACTGACATTCCCTACCCTTTCAATTAGCCACCCTTTCCATTTGGCATTTGTGCTTATATATTCCTACACATACACACGTTGCTCAACTGTCCTTAAGAGCCCAGAGCGGGTTAATACCTCTGCAACTGAAACCTCAGACAGTGGTCATAAAGAATAAACGCACGGAGCACACCGTGTCTCGAACTCGCAACCTCGTGGTTACGGCGCCCCATCGCCTAGCCTGAACGTGCTGGCGCCTAAACCCTCTCGGCCAACTCGACAACTCAAAGATTGCAGAGAATACAAATAAGAAATCTGGCACTGTTTGCTACAATAGCTACACAAATCTAGTAAATCTTACCCTCCTTTGCCACACCAAAGAAGTGAAAATATTAACCTAAATTCTTGAGTACATGTAGGTTGTATAGTAGCAATGTGTCCAATCAAATAGGATTCACTAAGATTCACTTCTACATCATTCTGGAAAATTTCAAGAATTTTGCATCCACTTCAGAAATAGATTCAAGGGAGAACACTGGTATTTTTCAGGACTGGGCAGATTTAATCGAATAACAAAACTACTTCTTATAAGTATTTTCTATCAATTCATAATTAACAATTGATAAATTGATGGACCAGCGCCATAGGGCATTCCTTGCATAACGTTAAAATATCTTATATTCCGATTCACTTAAAGCATTTAGGGCAAAGCATTTTTCTTGCCATGTGACGCATGTCTCTGTTGAGGAGTATACATACAATGGGATTGTAAACACAGTTTAGATTTCCCATTCCTGATAAGAGAGCCCTCAGTACTAGAGAACCCCTTGCACTCCTTCCAAATGGAATATACTCAATCTGCAGCCAGTCATACTCATTGAGTTGAACAAAACCCCATGGTACCCATGTTGCAATTAAATATCCTAATATAGCAATTACTGTTCGTAAACTTTTGAAATATTTTCTAAAGGAAATTCCCTTATTTTCTTGGCTTGTCTGTTCAAATGAATTTATTTTCTGTGCTTGCTTATGTGCTATTATAATGATGTGAAGGTATAGACAAATTAGGCATATCATAATTGGGTAAAAGTTACCTAGAAAAAATAATCCAGTATAACTTGATGTAATTGCATAATCAGGAACGCATTGATTCATGGACCATGTTGCAGCTTCAATCTGAGTCTCATTTAGATTAGGAAAAATGTATATGACATAGGTATTCAGACCAAATATGGGTAGCAGTGCCATGATAATAGTGTACACCCAACATGTCACAATTGCCCTTAGCATTCTTTTTGTTGTGACAATTGTGTTATAACGTAATGGGTACATTATCATTACATATTTCTCCATCCCTACGAGTAGCAACATCAATGCTACAATCAACAACTGTGAAAAAGCAAATGATACTGATGCCACACATACCAGAAAGTGTTGTAGATGTTTCACATACAAACTAATGGCCAGTATTGTGAGTGTAAAAAGACCAAATATGTTCCCAGCGCATAGTGAAAAAAGGCAGTAGTTTGTAGGAGTGTGGAACTCCCTGTGCCGCAAAATGACAAAAATCAAGAGTGCATTTGTCACCAGTATTAGAATGATGGAAATAACTGTTGAAATTCCATATATCCTCCCTGGCAACCAGTTTTCAGATATGTCTGTTGTGGATGTTCCATTCTCCAATCTTGTGAAGTTGTCATAGCAACTAGTACTATTGAAAAGGTCACACATTTTCAAATCCGTCAAATTCATTTGTACTGCTGTTATTCAGGACAGTTACTTCTTCTTCCTTAGCAGATTATTTCCATCTTGAAATATTCCAATTGAATTTTTTTGGTAATTTACCATGTTGAATATCATTCATTTTTCGGCTGTAACCTTTGTAGGTATGAACAACCAGGTCATTTTTTCTCTGTAATGCAATATATGTATATATATAACACCGACTGTTTATGAATATATAATCTTGTAGCTGTCCTTTTATTTATATTCCAAATCAAATAGCTTTATTTTGTATTTCATTGTTATTGTAATCAAAGAACTAGATCTACATGTATGCATAACCTCATTTTATTTTGAGATGCAAAAGGAAGTCTTTCATTTGACATTGTGATCCACATAATGAGATTTGTTTGTCTAATTTAGTCTTCATCATCAATTTATTTACAATGTAACAACTTGCATCAAAAAAGGCTAACGAGACCATCGATCACTCGCTTAACCATCCTGCACAACAATGTTAACTTCTGCCGACAGTTTAATTTCTCATGAAATATTAATTTACGAAATCATTTGGAATCCTGTTCATTAACTTGTCATTGCTAGGGATTCTGGCATAAAAAAGCAGGGATAAAACTGCTATATGATAAGCTTTGCGAAGTAATTATGTATGAAATAGAAATTGAAATTTTCCCTTTCCTCATCCTTCTTTTATTTGCTGACAATACTTATAAATGATTCAATACCTGAGGACAACAGGGGACTCACCTGTGGATACAGCCGATTTCACCTTTAGCTCGTATATTCTGGCCCCATCTTATATCAGTGGAAAGTTTTAATAGAAATTGATTAAAGCATCACTCGTCATGCTAAATCTGTCTTAATCTAACGATCTGAATTCTATACCAACTGAGTTAAGATATATAATTTTTTCAGTGCATACTCTTTTATGTTTATATCTCACATGTAATGATCAAGTGATATAGATGATGTATGTATCAGTCATATGAGTCATAATTAGATGATCCTTTTAGAGATGATAAATAGTTAACGTGTTGGAAGTAGACAAAAAGGAATTGATGGATGATGCTAATGTTTATGACTTAGTTGTCATTAGCAATAATTGTTTTCTTTATAAAAGATTTTAGTTCACTGACAAGGTCCCTGTAGGTTGCAAACCTTTTACCATTCTTCTCTTTCCATTACTTTAAATAAATCATATGAATAGAAAATTTATAAATGCACTAATCAAATTAACATATTTATGTATTTTGTTTTATTTCCAACCATTCAAAAATTGTGTAAACTTTTATCAATAAACATGTTAAGGCACATTCATTTCATTGTACTTAATATCTCTTTTATCAAGGTTTACCCATACTCCCAGAATCTAGAGGCACTTGCAATACCACTAAAATATGATTTATTATTTACATTAATAGATGTACAAATACAACATAATTGAAATTGACAGACGTAAATTCTCTCGACCATGTGCCAATCCTGTGCCAATGCATATGGTAGTGGAGTGCATTCTGTATAACATAGTTTGTGACCTCAATTCTCTGGCGCAGCATTCTTTTAGCTGCTTGCCGCATGTCTTTGTTTAGGAGCACACACACTACAGGGTTATAAACACAGTTCAGAGAGGTCATACTTGAGATTAATATACGAGCCAATAGAGGAGCCCTCCCTTGCCTTCCAATTGGAATAAATTCAATCTTCAGCCATTCAAACTCCATGAGCTGAAGGACGCTCATAGGTACCCATGTTATGATGAAATATCCCAATATTGCAATCACAGTCCTTAAACTTTTGAAATATTTTCTAAAGGAAACTCCTTTACTTTCTTGACCCATCTGTTCAAGTGACTCGATTTGCCGTGCTTGCTTATGAGCTATCATTAAAATGCGACTGTATAGACAAAGGAGGCATAATAAAATTGGGTAAAAGTTACCTAGGAAAAATAATCCAATATAACTTGATGGAAGTTCATAATCAGGATTACATTGTTCCGTGCCCCATGTCGCAGCTTCAATCTCAGTCTCATTAAGATAAGGAAAAATGTAGATGACATGGGTATTCAGACCAAATATTGGTAGCAGTGCTATAATAATAGTGTACACCCAACATGTCACAATTGCCCCTAGCATTCTTTTTGTTGTGACAATTGTGTTATAACGTAATGGGTACATTATCATTATATATTTCTCAATTGCTACAAGTAACAGCATCAATAGTCCAATTAGCACTTGCAGATAGTAAAGTGATATGGAGGCAACACATTCTAGGAAATGCTGTAGGTGAATCACAAACACGCTGAAAGCCAGCATCGCTAGTGTTACGAATCCAAACATATTTCCAAGACATAATGAAAGAAGGCAGTAGTTTGTCGGATTATGGAACTCCTTGTGTCGCAAAATGACAAAAATCATGAACGCATTTGTGATGAATATCACTATCATGAGTGTTAAACTTGAAATCCCATATACCGTTGCTGGCAGTGGGTTGTCACTTTCAGATATATTTGGCATGGATGTACTGCTCTCCAATGTTGTGAAGTTGTCATAGCAACTAATGTTGATGTTGTCACACATTGTCCTATATTTGCAATAATTTGTCAACTTGACTTCACTTTTTAATCATGTCTTTTATTCAATTACAAATTACCAACACAATCGCAGAGCAGTATGTCCCAGGGACAACTAACTGTTCCCTCTTTTGATTAAAGTAGACACCAGTCCTATTCATACCAGTAATTTGAATATAATTGCCTCATATATATTTATGTTTATACAGTTAATACATTATGTTCAACGTACAGTATCAAGTCATCCTCTGCTCCTGATACATTGAAAGTGTATGTTTGTGCTTTTGAAATTGAACGTCAAAATGTAAGAAACATCAAATCAGCTCTTTGTTTATATTGTATTGGAAGAACTATGATATTATACAGCTTCATCCCATTTTACAGCTGCAGTGTGAGCCCTTCATTTGTCACTGTCATCTACTCATAATAAGGAAATGTTATATGCAATTGTTCCATCATCATAATTATGCCGAAACAACATCAGTCATATATAATACCATTAGGTGATGCATTTAGTGATGTTTGCTCGTTAATGTATAGGAAGTAGACATCAATGATATAATATTGGACAGGATCTAATTGCGCTTTTATAGTCATTAGTAAAATTCTTTCCAATAAATATCTGATATAATCAGTTTGTTGTCAGACCTTTTAGTTCACTTCCATTTAGGAGTCCAAATCTAAATAGAGAAAAGTCGATTATATATTTTAGTGAGTCATGTTGAGTGTTCTAAATTATGCTTTGCTGATTTAATCCAAAATCAGAAGTATTTGATTGTTGATCATTGTCAGTTTAAAGTTGCAGTTCCCCAAAGGGATGAGAGACTTCTCACAAAAAACCTCCCATTGAGAAAGCATTTCCAAAGTTGATGTTTGAATTGCTTTGCTCTGGCGCTTTGTCCATCTGTCATGTCTATTTTATTGGGTCCACGCTGCTAATTTACACCATTGGTTCAGGCTCATACTCTTGCCTTGATTGTTTTTGGAAAAATCAGCTCTTTTGTCAAAATGTCACATTTTTCACAATACAGATTCACCATGTGAGGTCACAAAGTGAAACCATTTTTATTATGTCACCACCAAAAGTGGTGACATATTGTTATACATGTAGTCTCCAACTTTTTGTTATTATCTTAAAATGCTGTTTTGTTTCAGATATTGATGAATGTATTATCGGAACACACAGCTGTACCAAAGACCACCAAGTTTGCCGCAATACTCAGGGCAGCCATCTTTGTCAGTGTGAAGTGGGCTATGAGTTTAACCCAAGCATACGAGAATGTGAAGGTATTGACTAGTGCCTAATACACTGATAACATTTTTAGATATGTAAGTGGAAGTGCCAATGGAAAAACACCAAAAATGGTTACAACACAGCCAGAAAAAGAAAACAGTTAAGAGTACACCAGTCATAAGGAAATTAAACTCCAGACATTTTTTGGATGGTGTTCAATGGTTAGTGTTCGGCAGTTGGTGTTTGTTGATATATTGTTTCAATGTTGTAGCTGTTGACAAAATGTTTCATTGCTGATCTAGCAATATGTGTCAATATAGACAGTAATAATAAAAAGTTTTGTTTCAGATGTTAATGAGTGTGCATCAAATCGTGATAATTGTCGTCAAGGCCAGACATGTGAGAACACTGTGGGCTCATTCATCTGTCGCAGATCTATCAGTTGTGGCACTGGGTATACTCTAGATAGAGCTTCACAGAGGTGTACAGGTATTTATTCAAAGATGGCGAAAATTCTAGCAATCTGATTGATCCCCGTGGCATAAGATATATCTTTCTATTTTGCATTATATTCCTGTATACTGTAAGTTTCACTTTAAAGTGAATTTATTTCCTTTGACCTTCAAATATGATCTTCAAATATGATGTGGTGCAAAGCCTAAGAATTCAGTCATTCATTTTCAATATAAGTCACTTATTAGGAAAATGTAAATCTTTAGGTGTGAAATAATATCATAAAAAATATTCATATATAGATGGCAGTTCTTAAATATATGATAGACACCAATAATTCAACATCATAATTTAACCTTTTCCATTAAATATACCCTGTATCAAGCACAGAAATTTTTACACCCTTTACTAAAATGGCAACCCCTGTATCACGCACTTGTATCATAAAAATATATTTGTTATAGATGATGATGAGTGTAAATTGAGGACACATAACTGTGGTCTGGCAAGAGAATGTCGTAACACCCCTGGCTCATTCCGCTGTATTCCCAAGCAGTGCCCCCAAGGATACAGGTTGGACTACAGCACAGGAGCCTGCGACCCTGTTGAATGCTCTCGTGGTTTCACCCCAGATCGGTCAGGAAATTGTATAGGTAACTGTTTGATATTAATTATAAGTATCATGTTGAAATATAGTATATTATTGACTCAAAACATGAACTATCAAATCCAATCAAAAAGGTAGCACTTGCGAATTCAACTGATGGCTGACAGTTTAATTCACTATTTTATGGACAAATCATTTAAATATGAATAGAACCTACAAATATTCCATTCATATACAATGAGTTGGCCATAGAATAGCAGGTTCAAACCGACAGCTGACAGCCGGCAGTTGAATTTGTGAATGCTACCTCGATCTCTGAGCAAGTTACTAGTTAGTATAATAAAACCTGTTTAAATGAAACAACTTTACCTGAAAATAGTGTTGGCTGTGTTGTACTTAGATATTTGTCCATTTCCTATTTGTACAGACCTGTGGGTTAATAGGTAACTGGACATGGAAGTTTGTTCCACTTTTGGTTGTGTTCCACCTACAGAGGTTGACAGATTTAACTGTAATTAAAAAGTCACAAAAATTGTTGTAAATATATGGGAACAACAAAAGGCAATTTTCTGTTTAAATTATTTTAATTAATTGAAGTATACGTAAGCCTCGTATATCATGTACCTTAATTTATACTTCAACACATACAGTTGTATTAAATTGTCCTTTGATAACACAGGTTGATTCAAAAATACAACCCATGAAAACCTCCATAATTTTGTGCATACATAATGTCTACACTTTCTTCTAGATTTGAATGAGTGTGTTGAGAGACCACAGGTCTGTACAAGTACCCAGCAATGTATCAATAGTATAGGTTCATACATAATGTCTACATTTTCTTCTCGATTTGAATGAATGTGTTGAGAGACCACATGTCTGTACAAGTACCCAATAATGTACTTATAGTATAGGCTCATACATAATGCCTGCATTTTCTTCTAGATTTGAATGAGTGTGTTGAGAGACCACAGATGTGTACAAGTACCCAACAATGTATCAATAGTTTAGGCTCATACATAATGTCTACATTTTCTTCTAGATTTAATGAGTGTGTTGAGAGACCACAGGTCTGTACAAGTACCCAACAATGTATCAACAGTATAGGCTCATACATAATGTCTACATTTTCTTGTAGATCTGGATGAGTGTGTTGAGAGACCACAGGTGTGTACAAGTACCCAACAATGTATCAACAGTATAGGCTCATACAAGTGTCGCAATCTCATCAACTGTGGTTCAGGATATGAACTCAACTCACAGGGAAATAGATGTACAGGTGAGTTACAGGGTGCCAATTATGGTAGCTTTACTATTGTTGCTCACCCTGTAGTTATTTGAAAAGAACATAGCCATGATTCGGACCAAAACTAAGGCATCAATTTGAAGTACTATTGTATTACTTTTTAAATTTCATACCAATCATATCAAACATAAGCCATGCTGTATAAATAATATCTGCAGAACTCAATATTACAAAATGATGAATGAATTTGTATGACTTCCTATTGACAAGCGAGATACTTTAATGCTCTGATACAACTGAAATAAAGGTGTGAATGTTTAATTTTATAGCAACAATGATTTTAGAAAACCTACATTTTAATCAAGTATATTCATCCAGTCTTCAAACCTTATAAAACCTTTCTTTTAGCTCTGTTTAAAATAATGAGTGTTCATATTACAGACATTGATGAGTGTGAACGTAACACTCACGACTGCAAGGGAGGTTCCATATGCCGTAACAGACCTGGCACCTATGTTTGCCAGTGCCCAGAGGGATACAGAATGAACCAAGTATTAAATCGCTGTGAAGGTATGTTAATATACCTGCTTTTACACAGATTGTGATGCTGAAACGAGAATGTTAATTGAAAGAAAAATAAAATGAAATAAAGGCATCTATACACTTACACTGGCATATTTACGCTTCATTTATTTCAATTTTTTAGAATAACTCGATCAAAAATAACTCAATTTCACTCTGAAAATCCTCAATCAAAATAAATCAATTTTACTAAAAAAAAATCATAGGCATGTCATGATTCGTGTCATGTATTTTTATGTCACCACAACAAGTGGTGACAAATTGTTATAGTCTCCAACTTTTTTGTGGATGGTGTTCGGCAGCTGGGGTTTGGCATTCGGCATTGAGTCTCTTTTCTTAGGGAACTCAATTTTTTACAGGTTCCCGAACCTATATGGCAGGTGGTGACATTTTTCATGTTTGCCTTGTTTAATCATTGATATGTGTATTACAGATGTTGATGAGTGTGAAAGATATGATGGCCAGGTGTGTGCTACAAATGCAGAGTGCCAGAACACTCCAGGGTCATACTCATGTATATGCAAAGATGGCTTTGAAAACAGCGGACGCAGAATATGTAAAGGTAACCAAGTTTATTGTACATTTGTAGTTTCTCTGTGAATATGGGATTCAGTATTAGAAATTAGTGTATCTTATTACCTTGTTAATGGTGATCCAAAAATGTGACCTTCTAGTTTTGGAATAACTTGAGGATTTGGATTACGATTGAATTTTTCCCAAGATGTTTAGACTGTTGTGTGATCCTATATATGTGTTCTAACCCATTCAATTGTATGTTTCAGATATTGATGAATGTGAAAGACCAGGAATGTGTCAGCATGAATGTCGCAACACTTGGGGGTCATTCCAGTGCACTTGCTTTGATGGTTACCAGCTTAGCCCTGATGGACGCACATGTCAAGGTGAGTAAAGATGACAGAAGCAGTCTGAAGATATAAATACAGTAAAACCTGTATATCAGAAGACATGGCTAATCCAAACAGCTCCCAATGTGGACACCTTTTTGGTCCTGCTTTTTCCTTCAAACACCTCCCAATTCGAATGGTAGTTGGATGGCCTGTTCATACTCCCTTTAAGTATACATGTATATGGTGATTTTTGAGGATTATTTGTTGTCTGGCTTAGAACAAAATTTCAATTTCTATCATTTGTGACTGTATATCATGCAATTTATGATTATTGTGCCTACAAACGAATATTGTATTATGTGCAATAAACTTCAATAGTTTTTTTGTTTCTCTTTTACAGATATAGATGAGTGTAAGGTTTGGGGCAATAGAGGGCGTCTCTGTGTAGGTATTTGTGAGAACATCCCAGGTTCCTATACATGTTCCTGTCCAGAGGGCTACAGAATGATGAGTGATCAGAGAACATGTCAAGGTATTTCAAAGTAAAATACTGACATGTTTTAAAAAGATGTTCATAATAGTGAAATTTTTACAGATTTTGGTAAGAGAATATTGAAATATTTTCTGACGGAAATATTTTCACAGATATCATTGAACTGTCGAGTGATAATTTTACAGATATCTTTGAAGTTGAAATCTTATAGATATCAAAAGGTGAAATGTGTATACATAAACTATAACTGAAATATGTTTACATATATCATGAAATTTATGTTTACTGATAAATGAAATGTATCTACACTTTACATGTATCAGTGAGTGAAATTTATTTACAGATAATATTGATAAATGAAATGTGTTTACACTCTACATATATCGATGAGTGAAATGTGTTTACAGATATCGACGAATGTGCAGAGCGAGGTACCACGTGTCTAGGAAAGGATGATATTTGCATTAACACCAGGGGGAAATATCGCTGTCAAACAGTCACCTGTCCAAATGGTTTTGTCAGGGCCGCCTCCAGGGGTCGCAACCAAAGAAACAAGTAAGTTACCATCTCTGGGTGCTCACTAGACTTTAGGCTGAGGTGTTCCATCAGTAACTAATGTCAATCACTTTCCTAGTTTGCCTCACTCTGATGCGTTAAAGAGGCTTGACTCTTGACTCCCCAAAATTTTAAAAATATGGGATTTTAGTATATACACATGGATTTGGTTGAGATGGGATTTTTCCAAAAACGTACACAATGTTTTTCATCAAAATATCTTAGAAAAACCTCAGTCTATATGAATTCAAATGAGCACTCTGCATTGTGAAGTATTTTCGTGATGTTATCTTGCTACATCACCTTTGTCAATTTTTGTTGGGAACTTTCTCAAAGATGTCACTGTAATTGTGTGATATGATTCAAGGAATACAATTCTAGTCTATCACATATAGTAAGTGCAATTTAAATAGAAAATTGGAATAATTGCTCTGCTATGAAAAATTAAGCCAAAAATCAATGAAAAATGTGATTGTGATATCTTTGTTTTTATATGTTAAATGAATTAAACAATTAAAATTCTGGAAGTCTGTATAGTCAAACTATCTTGTTATCATTTATATCCTCATTTTGTGATATATTTTCCATTGCAAACATATCAACCGGTGGTAAATATGTTCAATAGAGTGGTTTAAAATGGACCTACCAAACTGCAGGTTATTGACACACGAGTTGACGCAATTTATTTTATTAAGTCCGTCATTGCGACAATAATGCAACTCAACGACTATTTATGGCACCTCTTGGGGCTTGGAAATTGTTTTTTAGTTAGTTCTAGGAAACTGTTATTTGAGTAAATTTTTGTTGTTCCTTTGGGAACTTAGCGAAACAATTTAAACTGCTTATTTATGAGATGGCATTACTTACTTCCCCCTTGGAGAATTTATTTCATATTTTTGTCTTATATACCCTGCATTTTGTTGTTAAAGTTACCAAAATTTGCACTTGTTAAATGAATGTATAATTTTGTTAATATGAATATTTTGTATATCTATTGTATTTAGATAGTTATTATATTGTTTAAGGCCTTTTATGTTTGTCTGCTTGGTAAAATGTAAAGTATTTGAGCATATTTGTCATTCTTGAAATATAGATATTAATATGCAATATGCATGCATGTACCATAATAATAACTGCATATTCCGATTCTGACTGTTTATCTTTCCCGAGCAGGATTCACTATTTACTGTGTTTCAAGCCAAACAATAGGTTTACTCACATCAATCAGACATACAATACAATTTTACAACAATATACAAGGTAGTAAAAAATAAAAGAAATAACAAATTATAGTCAAAGTCAAGTCTTATTCCTCTCAGGTCTAGTTTAGTCTCATATTGTTTATTAATGACTACTTCAATATGGGATACAAGAAATTTATAACCTCCGTTGTTGAGCTATTAGCACAGTAATTCCTCATTTCTATTATTGGTACAAATGTTTGCATGTATGATATGACTTTCAGGATTGCTTGCTTGTTTGATTGATTGCTTGCTTGCTTGCTTTGCATGTGAATTTTCATATTTCTTACATAATTTTCTCTTCATATTTCTATGTAAAACATTTACCAGACAGGCCCGTAGCCAGGGGGGTGGTTGGTTCGATGGTTTGAGTGAACCCCCCCCCCTCCCCCTGGCCAAAAATGCTTTCAAAATCATGCAGTTTTTCATCATTCTGAGCACATTTTAAGTGATTTTGGACCAAAATTGTTTTAAGTAAACCCCCCCCTGGAAACTTTCAAAAAGTGAACCCCCCTTGGCAAATCCTGGCTACGGGCCTGGCCAGATTATGTCAGAATTACAAAATTCATATATTGCTTGTGAAAATACAGTATGTTAAGGGAACAAGAATTTTAGGGATATTGTACAAGTCTGACAAACGACATTTAATTGTTATGAATGAAGTTTTAAACCACTGTAATTTCTCTCCAAAAAACACATTAAATTTTTTTTACAATGCCTGAAATCTATCATTTGATCTATATTAAGCAAAAAATGTTTTTTACACAAATAAACACCAGCATTAGTTTGATGTAAGATCACATTATGCTTCACAATGGTAGTTATCTTGCTCTAAATAATGACATTCAACCCTGAGAAAAAAATTCACGATGGCCATTTTGACATATAAAATATTAAAAAAAAGAGTAATTAATCAGTACTGCTAGCATGGAGTGAGCAGTGATTTCTGATGCAATGAACCAGAACTATATCCAAGTTGGTCCAAATGGATTCCATACAGTATAATCTAATCTAATTTTATAGAATGGGAGCTCCACTTAGTTTACACAATAGGATGCAACTTTAGAATATTGATAGATTAGCAAAGAGAAAATATTCATCAAACCTAGGATGGATGATGGATGAATAAAAGGAAGATTGTCATTGTTTTGCTGAGGCAGAAGCCTTGCATTTTTCTTTTGTATATTTCTCAAATCATTTGTTTTCATGTCCTAATGGTTTTTTAAGTGAAAGAAATTCTCAAAATGAATAGTAATCTCTGAAAGTGGGGGTATTTCCTGAAAAGTGAGGCTATTTTCTGAAAAGTGAGGGTGTTTCCTGAAAAGTGAGGGTATTTCCTGAAAACTGAGGTTATTTTCTGAAAAGAGGGTGTATTTTTCAAGAGAAATAAATTCTCAAAGGAGAAAGTGGAAAAAAGGTTTCTATCAAAGGAGAATGTAATTTGGCTCCAATGGTGTTTTATTCTTAAATGGAACTTAAATACTCTACAGAATTTGTGGACACATTACATGTACATATGAGTCTTATGTATGCTGACATTGTGATATTTTAGACACACTCCAAGTACAAAGTTCTTGAAGTCCCTTGCATGTTTCTTCCCTCAAAAGAAAATTTTTGAGGTTGTACCCCTTCATTTGGAGAATGCCTTTAAGGTACTGTCATCCAAAAATAATACAGTGGATTGATATACGGTCAGATAACTAACATGTAATATACAGGTTTAGCCTTTGACTCATGAGGCTGTCTTTTTACATATAAGGATATTCTCCATATCCAAAACCTCTCATAACATAACTCTTACATATACAAGCTATACTGTATCAGTGGTATCTGGTCAACTCAGAACCTTGTTAACTCGGACCATAGTCAACTTGGATCGTAGTCATTCATTCTGATGCTTAAACTATAGCAAAATATAAAAATGAATAGGTCTAAGTTGACTGGGGTTCGAGTTGACGAGGGTCTGAGTTAACTAGGGTCCATGTTGACTAGGGTCTGAGTTATCTAGGGTCCGAGTTGACTAGGGTCTGAGTTATCTAGGGTCCGAGTTGACTATGAACTGTATCAGTAGAAGAGGAAATATAGAGAAATCTGCATTGTAGAAAGCTAATACCTTTACTATCAACTAATCTCTCATCTAACTCAGCTAATCCAAGCAAAGCATGGTCAAACAACCAATCAAACAACCAAGCAACAATCAAGCAAACAAACATAGGAGGGCCTTAAAATCAATCAATGTTGAATACCCACTAATGCAGATTTCTGTATGTTTCTTTTTTTGTACAGTATTCGCTGCCAGCGTCGTACGTTCGTGTGTGCCCAAGGTGATAGGGAATGTCTATATGCTCCACTTTCATACTCATACAACTTTATCACATTCCCAACGAAGATCAGAATCCCTGCAGACTTATTCACAATGCGAGGCCCATCTTCTCCATACAGACGTCTCGATTTTGAGCTAAAGATGGTGTCAGCAAAGGACCCTAAAACTGGAATCACACGGGTTTCCCGAGATTTCTTCTTCCTTGATAAGGTGCGATCCAACGAAGCAATCGTCAGGCTAAATCGTGAGATCTCAGGACCTCAGGACATTGAACTTCAATTGAATATGCAGATTTACAGCAAGGAGATTACTACTGCGAAAGAAATATTCTTTGGGACTGCTGTCGCAAATATTACAATATTTGTAACAGAAGAGGGATTCTCTTCCGAGAACAAAAGACCTGTTCTTCTCTAGGAAAGAATGATGTGCCAAATATTTGTGTTACCCTATATCACTGCGATTTTATTTATTATTTCAATAATTATTATAAGTTTTTTATATGGAAGAATCAGAGATATCCATGAATCCAAATAGCCCAAAATAATTTGATTTTATAAATGGGTGTTAATAACCATTAATTGAATTAAATTGAATAAAATTTATTATTTTCATTTTTTACATGATAGGGTAACACTAAAACATTTTGTTGTAACTGAAGATATATTGAACAACATTTCATGGACTCGAGCAACAGTGAATGATTTCATTTCGAGTATTTGAGTGAACAATGCAGGTCCAAATATTCTTACTCTGTTAGATTAAACTACATGTGTACATTGATATTACATTATATACCAATGTGTTGATTAAGCATCACCATGGTAACATTGTGATAATTTAGCTTTGTCGTAGTAACACTGGATGAATTAAGCAACACAGCAGCGACACTCTGTTGTTTAAGCATCTCTGTTGTAACATTGAGTTAGATAAGCATCATCATGGTGATATTCTGTAAATTAAATCAACACCAAGATGAGACATTGAGTTATTAAACTATTACTTTGGTGACATTGTGTTGATTTAGCATTATCATGGTGACTATATGTTAAGGAAGCATAATCATGGTAACATTGAGAGTCAAGCATGACCATGGTGACATTGAGCTAATTATGGTGATGTTCATTTAATTAAGCATCACCATGGTGATATTGTGTTTAGAAAGAATCATCATCATGGTGATGCTTTAAACAATGGTTAGATACATGTAATGTTTTATATAGCATTGTAAATAGGTAATATGATGCATATGTTATGTAAATAGTACCTACTATATATTAGTAATTAATCACATTATGAGTAATCTAATGGATATTCTTATAATGATTTGTGCACTCATTGAAGTGTAGAAATAAATACTTGTAACAAAAAAACAAAGATAATTCTAGATTTCTTTTATTAAACTTAGACTCGGGATTATTTATTTGATTATCTCTTGGCCTGATTATGAATATAATTTAATTGCTTGTACATTTATATTCAACCCCCATTCACATTGGAATTTGGAATTATCCATGGTTTTAAAACATTAATGCTTTTCAGAATTTCCATTAATTTCACACTTTAAATGCTTCAACTTTACATGTATTTCAAAAATTGAATCCTACGTATTGTCCCAACCTTTATATTCCAATGTGCTAATGGTTTGTCTCGTCAAATATACCTGAATAAGGGCATATAATGTGTAAGACATATTTGTTGTTTCATGATATCTGCTTTGAAAACAATTAGGCAAAGCAGAAGAACAGAGCTTGGTCTTCAGATTGTTAATGGGTATTATTTTAAAATACACTGTACATTGTTTTATGGGACCCCTAATATCAGTCCATCATTGATAAGTGAGTAGATGCATGAGTTTATTGTATGTAGTTAAACCTGAGATGAGTCTGAGTGTTTAAGCTAGCATACCCTGCTTCAAGTGTTTGGTCTAATTTTATTTTTCCTGCATGGCAAAACATTTTCTCAACAGATATATGAAAAGCAATGTAATTGAATCCATTGGAAACATGTACGAGTATGTAGACACACCAATGGCATGGACAATAAATCAATCAAAACATTTTAATGGTCCCATTCCCACTCTCATTAGAGTACTACACATGTCCTACCGCATTCAATTGACTGATCAAATGTATGATGTACATGCAGAGGTTCCAGCCAGATTTTTTGTAGTACAGGGTGTTTCAGAAAAAAGGCAACCCACATACCAAACAATGCATATCTTTCAAACCAATGGAGCTTGGAAAATCCTTTTTGGTATAATTTAAAAGTTTGGTCAGTGTTCTTTTAGTCTCGTGCAATTTCATCACTTTTAGCATGGATAATGGATATGGCCCATTTGGGGCCCATATGAAGAATGTGCTCCAAAGGACTATCACCTCTCCTCTCTGCTGACAGACTTGCAAACATTCTTCCCTAAGTATTATCTCTACTCTGAACCCTGCAATGGTTCTAGGATTGGGAAAAGAACATTGAACCAACTTAAACTATGCCAAGACAAGATTTGTCACACTCTATTTGTTAAAAAGATATGCATTGTTCGCTGGGTTGCATTTTTTTAAACACCCTGTAGTTTACAGAAGTATCTTTATCTCAACATTAAGTTCCATATAGCTAACTTAACTCGTCATCGGTAAGTACATATTCAGCACCAAGTACTTTCAAAGTGAAGTTCATTAGAATTAAATGGCCAGTTTGGAAATAGGGAGAAACTTTAGCTAAACCTGTGTATATAATGAACACATATGGAGCCACAAAAAATGTTCATTTTAGGTAGGCACACACTACAGAGAGGGAATTATAGAGTAGCATATTTTATTAAGAAAGATTAAACTTTTTTGCATTACTGAAACAAATATAAAAAACAACAGTTTTTATGTCACCACCACAATTGTTGACCTATTATTAGTCCCCAACTTTTTTGTGGATGGTGTTCGGCAGTTGGCATCTGTAATAAATGGCAGGTAGTGATATTTCGCATGTTTGAATTTTGGTGGAATTTTCTTTTTATTGGTGTATTCTAGTCCAGAAAATCCTTGAAGATGTCACAATTATTGCGAAAGAGACTAATTATTTTGTCACCAACAGAAGAGGTGACATCTTGATATAGTCTCCAATTTTTTTGTGGATGGCATTTGGCAGTTGGTGTTTGGTATCTGTAACAGCATCTGTAACAAATGGCAGGCTGCATTTGTAACATATGGCAGTCCGCATTTGTAACATATGCCAGGTGGTGACATTTTGCATGTTAACGCCTTGTATGATTATGTTGACACCATACTATACATTGCAGCTTACCTGTAGGGGAGTATGTGGACCGACCCAGAGGCACTTACAACCAACCAAGGCAGCCACAACATGTTGGGTAAGTACCTCCTCCTTGGGTCTAGTTACTACATTAGGCCAGGCCAAGTTCAAAAATGTTAACATTTCTATGTGAAACTTCGCCTGACCCCCTCTCAAAAAGGTTTAAGAATAGTTTGTGTCATCACATTTAACATTGAATGCTAATGGTTTATATCCAACAATATCAAAAGATGCAAATGAAATATACATAGACATACATATAACAGTGGAATAACCATAACTTTAATTAAAAGTTAAATACCAACCCCCCCCCCCCCCCATGTCCTCTTACCACCATATCGCAATCCACAAAGTGCTCCAAGAATCAATATTTTGCTGTAATGAAATAGTCATTTACCCTTCTAATGTAATTTCTTTAACATTCCACAACTGTTGATAATTGGACATCATCCCTTACTTACTCTTGCCTTGTATAGTAATCTTGATTAGCTATACAAGATCAATGCAAGTCTTCAGATATATAAGAGGATGATAATTAGAGTGATAATTAAAGACGCTCCAGCAGAAAATCAGATTTATCCCACTGAATTAGTTCAGCAGGGATACAGAGTAGCCATCAGTTTGTGTGTCCGGCGATAACTCAAATACCAACAGACTGATTTGGTTATATAGGCATAGGACCTCTGTTTATGAAAATGTAATCTTTGATAACTCAAATGTTATGGTCACATATTTGGTTCAAATTGTATATGCTGATGCCTAAAGGCCATAGGAGTCTTGCTCAAAGAGATGGCATCTGTGCCACCTGTTGAGCTCTGGTGGTAAAACTACCGGCGTTGACTTGCAAAATCAGCAGTGTCAGCAGGCATAATAAAACAAACCCCAATATCTCAAATTACATGTAGTAACTATGATGTATTAGTAGTATAAAAAGAATTTTTTTTTTTTTATTAATTAATGTTACCATGGTGTGACTGATATCCATGAAGTTGTAGAACTAGAGGCTAAAGCATTTAGACAACTTTGGCCTGTGTTCAACCTTAAGCTTTTGATATTACCCGAACCCTATTGAATCACAATAAAAACATTGAATTCAAATAGTATTTTTATTTCAGAGAGCTTAGTGACCAAGGAATAGTGTGTCGTAAGTTGTCATGTTTCGATGTTGATGTAAATTGTCTGCTGAACCGAACAAAATCTGTCCAATATCAGTTCATATCTCTTCCTACCATCACAAATCTACCCAGGCCCATGGTTATCCTGAATGTCCAGACCATAGGCTACTCCAAGTATCCGAGTCTCATGTTCATGATAGAGTCTGGGAATGATGAGGGCAAGTTCACAATCACAAAGGAAGGAGATAAAGGTTAGTAAGAAGTGCCACTTTCAGTCGTTTTAGAAATAAGTATGGAATAATATCATGAGATGTCGAGAAAATATATTGTTAGAAATTCCATAAGTTTCAAAATGAGTTACACTATAGAATGTTAATTCGAAAAATATAGCCAGAGATATTACAACATTATTCTCAAGTGACTCTCTGGGATACTAATAGTACAATAACGTCATTTCGAAAATTGCCGGTCGTTAAATGCATTCTTGACCAGTTATATTGACCAACACTATGGCGTCACATATTGCTCAGGTCGATAAAGTAAATTGAATGCCTTCTAAACTAGCACTAAAACCCCTAGAACTGGCCCGGCAAGGTGGTAATAATGTATCATTATTCTTTTCATAATTATTGAAAAGTGCTATATCGTTGTTGTCTTGTGCTGATCATTGAGAGGCCCAAGTGGAGACACAATAAAAACTACTATTGATCTATTCAACTTGACACTTTATTAGTTTTAAGAACAGGCTATGTGCCAAGATCTTGGAAGGTTGTGGGAATGCTGGATAATTACCAAGGTTACCATTTTGAATTTCAAATGTTGTATTTAACATGCTGTGTCTTTAATGTTCCAGGAGTCCTGAGGTTGGTCAGACCTATCTCTGGGCCAAGGGAATACATGGTGAAGTTACGTATGGACCATCGTAATAGATACAACACTATCGTCTCCAGTCACCTTGCATTCATCTATGTACACGTGTCTCAATGGAGATTCTGAGGCAAATTGCAAGGTGCTTCTGTATGGACATAACGCGCCATGGTAATAGCCTTACCAACATTTTACACAAAATATTTTTTCCACTGAACCTGTAAATTATGTCCCATATAGTGGTATACAGTGTTTACTACCCTATTTGGCTTAAGTTTGCCTCATCTTATTTGATAATGATAAAGATGATGGAGTTAGTTTGGAAGTTAAAATAAAAGTTGATACCCGGGAGTTGATAATGCGATGGAGAACTTTTGTCTTCAATCCATAATTTTTATAAATTACATATAGTATATTTACTACTTGATTGAATGAAGAGACTTCAAATTAAATGTAACCATGTGATTTAATATTTTTAATGTTCAGTTTTAGTTCATGGTATTTAGACAACAAACCCCATACAGCAGAAAAAAGGGTTTTGCAATGGATGTAAATATTTTGATACAATACGGTATATAAAACTTATCTACAAATCTTATATGATTTTCCCATGACAAGTATGAAATATGGTGGACAAAGCATGTTGATATTATTTGTATTTAAAAATATGTTGGTAAAATAAAACCTTAAAGAAGCAATGTCTGATGTGTACCCCCATAAAATTTTTGTATTGGAGATGTAAAACAGTTCCACCCATCTACTTACTAGCTGTCAGATATCGATTCCAATGTTTATGGTTTCAATTTCATGGTTGTATGCAGAAATGAATTATTAACTGGACGGTTGGAAATTCAAAAAGAATTTAAAAACCCACTCAGAATCTGATTGGCTGCCTGGGTTCAAGTCACATGACAGGTGAGATTTCCCTCGATGGTAGCTTTTAGATGGTAGATGTTGATTTTCTCAATATATTGGCACTACTGTAAGTTGGTCTCAAGATAAATGTAAGGAATGTAAGATAAGCAAGTATAATGCGACATCACTGCAGACATTGCATCTTTAAAGTAGAAAAAATAAAAAGATTTAAAACATTTTTAAACATGATTTAAATAAATTCATGCTTTTCACTTTAAACCAACATTTACCAATTCTGCCGTATGTACATTTGCCATCTACTTATGATTGTAAAAAAAGAATTATTTTATCCATAAGTATGTAATATTAGTCATGACCAAAGTTGTGTCAACTTTGTAAATGTATTATACATGTATTTTATATACTTATATTTTAGTTACATTGTTTAATGTATTTTGCAATCAGATTAGCAGTAATTTGTGTAGGGCAATCCATTTTGAAAAATGTGGACATAGCAAATATTGTTTATACACAACAGTAAATATGACACTCGTTCTTTTGAAAAATACCTTAATCGAGTCTTGTCACATTATTATTTTCAGTGTACATGTACATTGTATGTTGTTATGTATGTACTTGCAATCCTTTTGGCTTTATCATTATGTGTTTGCAATCAGTATGGTAGTTGAACCTTGTCATGTTATTTTTATGTGCCTTGTAATGTATGTATTTCCAATCCATGTGGCCTTATCAATCAATTATGTAGTGTGTATTTGCAATCAATTTTAACATTTATAACTAGTGTCACTATTACAATCCAATGATTGTTTCTTTTCTAGTCATTTCTCCAGGGTGTACATATTAATTGATCTTGCATTGAATTTTATAGTTCATGATTATTTAATACCAATCTAGTCACTGAGTGGTTGAAACCTTTTGATATAATGTAATTGTATATGAATTATGTGTTGATTAAATATTAAATTTATTTATATTATCCTATGATTCCATATGTTTTGTTTGCTGTGTTGTTCAGATACATTTAGTAGAGTTTAGAGTGTGAATCAAGCGTTGCAAAGTATTTGATATACATTATGGAGTGCATATTTCCATTTGGCGGTCTCAATGTTTTTCCAGTGAAATTATGAGTAATTACAAGTTTTTATTTTTCCTTGTATTAAGTATGAAAGCAATTTGAGGGATTAAATGTGGAAAGTTGACAATTTGGAAAGGAGGAAAAATTTGGATGAAAATGTACAATTTGAGGAAAGAATTCAAAAAGATTGCTTTTTTGAAAATTCAGAATACAGTAATAGTTCGGCAAAACTCTATCTATGGGACACCTGTATGTGTCCTGCTCCCCCAAGACACAGTTTCTATGTCCTGCTGTTATATGTTCATGTGCTGAAATCTCACTCATTACATGGCAAAGTATAAAGCAAGGGTTTGACTTGCATGTACAAGCTACATAAAGACATATTTGCAAACTATCTTTCTTAGATTTGTTTGATTCTACATGCCTTAATACAAAGGTCTCATATTCTGTGTCAAAACACTACAAGTTGCAGTTAGTTCTACATGTAGATACCATTAATATATAAGGCAACTACCGTTTAAATGTCTGTTTAGCAAAATATTTATGAAAGATGTTCCAAGTACATAATAAGGCCCTTATGTTATACTTAGTCAGAAAGTGTACAAATTGTGAAACACTTAAAAATACAAGAAAATGTTTGACTATGGAGTTTTGGATTATTGTGTAAATCTTGATATTGTGTCGATAAACTATCATATAATTTGTAGCGGCCTTAGAGAAATAAGTCATTGGAGGGAATAGGCATTCAATGATGATTATTACAAACCTATGACTGCAATTCACTTGTAATGCCAGAACGCCTTTACCATGGCAACAGATATAGCTTAATTAATCAACGATGTGTTCTCAGTGATGTAATTACATCAAACCTGTTTGAATTATCGTGGTTTTCATGTTTTAAATCGCACTAGAGTATTGGTATAAAAAATCACAAACATCAAAATTATTACAACGTGAGGTCAAGCTTTCAGATTAGGAGGTGTTCACATTTCGAGGTTTTTGCATTCGCGAGATTCCAGATTCTGAAGAAATGTGAACACATTCTCGGTACAAATTTATAGTTCATTTGACCACATAGCTTCATGGCATTTCAGAAATTTCAAAATTTGATTCAAATGAATCTAGTCATGCTGGAAAACCCTATTATAATCAAGACCATTCAGGTTTTCTCCCCAAAGTTTTGATATCATAACAATATTTGAGCAATTTTGTATGAAACGTGAAATTTTATGAAAAGTGTTCAGATTAGATAGGTTAATTTTTCAAAGATGACTGTTCTCTGTTCAAATTGAGAGGTGTTCACATTTCAAGTTTTTTTTAACATAGGAGGAAAAAATGGGACCGAAAAAAAAGTGTTCAGATTGGGACGTGTTCGGATTAGCCAGGTGTTCAGATATACAGGTTATACTGTATATTAGCATACCTTCATGCAGTACGCTTTTGTGTAGCATTTTTTAGCTTGTGATAAACCATACACCACATGGGGTGTCTATCACTACTATGTAAATATGCATGTTTATATGATTTTAATAAATAAAAAACTGCAAGTCCCCTTTGATAGCATGTTAAAGCATGTTTATCTATTATGAATATTAATTTTGCTCTACAAATAAAATAGGTCTGAAATTCATAAACACGTCGTCGAAAAGGCGACGTTCGGTTTTTGGATGGATACTCTAGTCTACTTTCGATTGGCAGACCAAAAGTGTTACTTACAATAATCACTTTCTCCTTCAACACAAGATTGAAAACGATCATTGTCATAGAGACGACGATGCGTTATTAGGACATGAAAAATTAATATGTTTCAATGATCAATAACTGTGCTCAAGGAGATGACGACTCTTGGAGTTAAATTTTTGGGATTATGCTCATAATTGAAATGATAATTGATTCGGACTTATAATTAGGACTGGAAACAACTGGCATGATTTTTTAAAATTGCTCCCTACATTTCCATTCTCTACCATTCCTTTCTACTTCCAATTTCGTCGAAAGTAATTTGCCGGCAGAAGAGTTTTTGTGTCACCATCGGACCACATGTGACGACATATAGTCTCCAATTCTTATGTCACCACCAGACCACATCATGTGGAGGCATATTGTTATAGTTTCCATTTTTGTGGACGGTGTTATGTGGTTGTTGTTTGGTGTCCGGCGGTTGGTGTTAAGTTTCTGTAACAAATGGCAGGTGGTGGCATTTTCCATGTTGCCTTGTGTTTCTAATGTAAGTTCATTTATATGGACATGATTTGTCTTGAATTTACATTTTTCAATTATTCTCCAATAATGAGTCATTGTTTATGTGATGTCTGGTTGGTAAGGCCAAATCTAACTATTACTATTTAACATATTTAACAGTTTCTTCAATCGAACTCTCACAGCGCAAACAAATCCCCAATCCAAACAACAAACTAAAATGCCTCTTTCACTCGGATAAACATTCTCGTGAAAGGCTAGGAAAACTAACAATTCAAGCACATATTTAAACGTGTTGCCTTTCACTTACTAATAGTATAACTACCAGAGAAACAACCACCAGGATTCGACGGAGACCATGATACTATACTTGGAGAACATTTTTCAATCTATTACAATTAGATTTTAACCACAGCGTTAAAATATTAAGAAAATTGACTTTGGGATTGAGATACTCTTGTATTCTCTCTGAAATATTATGTAATTGATTGAATATCGTATATGAATCACAGGACTGGAGGCTCCAATCCTCCGCAAGAGCAATTAGTTACCAGCTATTGCATTAGACAACAAATCATCTAAAACTGCAGCAGCAACAGAACCTTCATCATCCCGCTGATGGATGCATATGCTAAACAATAATGATAGCTGAAATGATGCAGGTTGACGCAACAGCCCTAACGAGATAATAAACATCAAAGAAGGGAACACACGAGAAGGATAACCTCTTGTTTTCGGATTATCGCCCCGGGATTATCCTACGTTATCTCAAGTACAAATACTAATCAAACTTACCTGGGCAACTTCTATTAACACCAGGATTGGTACGATTTGTGTTATTTATTTTATCAGATATCAACAAGAGCATTGTGTAATATATCAGAAAGCTATTGTGCCCACTAAACAGTGTCACAAGAGGACAAAATTAACAAGAGCGAAAGGCATAACATTATTGTTGGCACGAGGAGGATTTTGTGAGATATGAGCACAACGTAATACGTGTACTAAGTTCATATCAATGACAAAACCGAACACAGGTCTACTGTAAATACTATAATATATATTAAAGATCAACATGATGAATCAAATCACCCAGGTAAGTTACCCTATGATCGAACTTACCACATATTAATACTATTTCTAATTGGTTATTTTACTTTATGGCCTGTATTTTGGAAATTCTATGCTATAATGGTACTTGTCGTGATAGCCTTATATATAACTTTTATTGAAATCTATTTTCTCTTCATTTGTTAGGAAGGAGTGCTGACCGAACAAGACATAAGAGGTAAGAGATAATTAAGCATAAAAGGAAATCAAGCATAAGAGGTAAGAGGTAATTAAGCATAAAAGGTAAGAGGTAATTCAGATATTTGCACTATCTTTTAATGGGGACGAGAGATGGGACGTCATTACTAGAACTCTTCATTTACGTCTATTGTTCTTTTACTAAGACGTCATAGTTTCCTTAGTTACTTTAATTAAATTAGTAATTTGAATCTTTCTAGTAATGAGATTATGATCCGTTATGTACAGGGTTCTCATTAAATATGGAAGCCATTGTTAAAAATCATGACTTTCTGTTGATCAACCAATACAACATGTCATAATATTGTGAATAATCGATTAACGTTCCTTTAAAATGATATATAAAATGCTTATTCAATGAAATCAAAGTATGTTACGTCTTAAATTAGAGAAGGAAGCTGGAGTTTATTCCTGGTAAGCACACAACCAGATATCTGGCAAATGCCAAATTCCATATGTCATTCAGCTATACCAGATCTAGAGAGTTCATATTTAAAATGTTTTGCAGATAACAATATAGTTTATCACATTATTCACTGTTCCATTTTGCTTCAGAAAGAATTTATTTTGGGAACAATTTTGATACCTTAAAGGTGACAGATACTTTATAGGTGACAGATACAATAGGTGACAGATACTTTAAAGGTTACAGAAAGGTGATAGATACGTTATAGGTGACAAAACTTGAAAATAAGTTTCGAGTCAGTCAATCATAACTGGAGTTTCAAGTAGTAAAAAAATAGTTCAAACTCAAATCCATCCATATAGCCTTGACCAAGTCGGTATCCTTTTACTTATCTCATCTTGAATTATTACCATAATAGAAATCAAAATAAGTAAAAGAGACCGACTTGGGCAAGGCTATCAAATCCAATAAATTGCAAATTGCACTCCAAGGGAAGCTAATGTGGGAAGACTGTAACATAAATAAATATTTTTAAAACCACCAATTCCGACATTCACCCTGGTCCCACTTAATGTACAAATTGATTCTCAAAGTCAGCCATAAGTGCTCAAATATATTTACAGTGACATTGGACTGTATTATGTGACACGCGAGGATTTTCTTGTCTCTCTGATTAATTAGAGAATTCAAATTAGGCTCATCAGTTTGTTTGTTAATGGCTTCAATTATCTAAGAAACATATAGAGCGAGAAATGAAGTTAATTCGGATATTTATTATAAGCAGGACATGACACAAGCACTAGTAGATAATACAGAAATAGAATCAATATGTTTTTCCTTTTTTGTTATTCATTTAAGTTGTCTTTCGTTTTGCATATACCGCGGAATAATACCGTTACGGATACGATGTGGCATTTTTCAAAATCTCGATACTATTTGGCGAATAACACAGTTTTACAGTGTCAGTCACTGACTGATTGGCTGATTGGTTGATTTGAGGCCATGTGATCCCATGCGATGTCAAAGTTCAGTAGCCACATCAGTTATATCCCATTGTCTCCCGAAAGAGAAACCTCCTAGTTCAATGCCATAATCCGGTTTACAGCAAGGTCATTCACTCCCCGCCGCGATGTATCTGATTTGGAAAAGCGACACGTTTCCTTGTTCGTATCCGCAAACGACCGTGTTCAAGCCTGTATGTGGCTATTATTGTCGGTGACATTTACTTTATAACTTGGGTCATCTTAACATATCAATTGATTATTTCAAGAAACGCTTTTTCCCTAAATTGACCTTCAAAGAGAAATATATTCTATAAATGTATCGAAATGACATTTTAATGTAATGAAAGAAGCATTTCATATCTGAATCTTATGATCTGTGATTTGAAAAGGCAATGTTCAAATAACACACAGATTTTCTTTTAATTTCAGAATACCGAGAAGCCTTCCAGTTGTTTGATAAGGATGGAAACGATAGTATCAGTGCTTCTGAACTTGGAGTGGTTATGCGCGCCCTCTATCAGAACCCAACGGAGAATGAACTGCAGAACATGCTCAATCAAGTCGATAAAGACGGTAAAAGGATTTGTATTTTTGGATTGATTCATATTAAGTTTTGTTCATCAACATGGCTTAATATCGCCCAACCGATACTCATCTTCATGTTCTTCTTAAATGATGTAGTCATGATTTGCAAAGTTCATTTTTTGAAAAATTCCAGGGGGTTCACTTTTGGCAATTTTGGTCTAAAAATGGCCAAAATGCTCAGAATGCTGAAAAACTGCATGATTTTGAAAGAATGTTCCCCCTGGCTAGATATAGTACCATTCGAGGCTTCATATATAAGTTGTAAAATAACGATTTTTTAACTTGTACGGGTAGATACATGTATGAAAAAGAAAATGAGCTGATACACGCTGCATTGACGACCAAAAATAATCAATTGATTCCTCACGCTTCAAGTATTTTCTACTCCTCCTTCAAATGAATTTCTGGCATATTTCTGTCACGCATGGCTTTTGCAATCATATTTTTACCGCGGATTCGACAACGAAGAGTTTTACGTGCTACGTGCAAACGTTTAGCTCTGTTGATTGACTCAAATCAAGGACGTCCTTGGATAAATCAATACAGGCACAAATTACCTAATCATTTTTCATTTGTAAGATAATTTGCGCAATTCCCTCTAGTAAGAATATTCCACGATGAATTACCCACATTATTTCGTTAGATCATATAAATTATTACATATCTGTGTGGGTTGTAAACTGGAAAACTGGTAACCATTAACATTATGACGAATATCAAGAACAAGAAAGGAGAACGATTTTAGAATTCTTGCAACTCTTTTAATCTTCTTAAAGCAGAAATGAGTTATTTGATAAAATATAGAAGTTATTACAGATTTCAGTTGAGGAAATGTCCAAAATTTACAGTTTTGATAACCCTTCGATTTTTAGGGTCACCTTGCAAAAAATAAAAAGGGGGTGTCACTAGTATGCAGAAAGGGAATAGGGAACATTTCCTTTTTAATTCTTGCAAGATAAACTTAAAAATCGAAGGTTATGAGAATTTTTCCGAACTTCTCTTCGTGCCTTCTAGCCCCTTTAAATGTGATAGAATTTTCGAAACATTTTCAATTGATTGCAATTGAATCCTTTTCATTGTTTTTTTGTTTACAAGGTAATGGTACCATAGAATTCAGCGAGTTTCTAAATCTCATGGTGGAACATCGGAAAGACGGGGATGCTCTACGGGAAGACCTCCGCGAAGCATTCCGAGTATTTGACAAAGACGGTAACGGACTCATATCTCCGGATGAACTTAAGCACGTGATGACAAACATTGGAGAGAAGATGTCGCAAGAGGAAGTAAATGAAATGATGCAGGAGGTTGATTTAAACGGAGATGGATATGTGGACTTTGAAGGTAAGAAACAAATACATGAATCATTCATAAAAATCCGTGATGTCGAATTCTTAATAACATAGATTACTCTGGAGAATCCTAGAACTTTGTGGAAGTATGGTCCCAAGTGGCAACAATAAATCAGGCTCGTTTTTCATAAATATTTGATGAAGTTACTGAGTGTCTTGCTTGCGTGAGAAAAAAAACCTTGAGTCTCCTGACTGATGAGTTCCAATAGACTGGAAAGCATCCCGAAAATCGGACAACCTCACTTTAATAAGCCTTGTTTCATTTGTCCAAATTATTCTGTCATGCATAAGCTCAGATAGTTCAACGTCCGATGCATTTCATTTTCATTTATCAGTCTCGGACAACACGAACATTTACTTATTAGCCATGGCCACTGGCCAGCATCTCGAAGAAACCAAAGATGCAAGCGTGCTTCTCTAGACATTTTTTCCTGAAACTCCACCCTGGTTAACAAAACAAGTTCCAATTTGCGTTTTTATGTATGTACATGTACATTAAGGCGTGTTGTGTCATGTTTCCAGAGTTTGTCAGAGTCATGACATGTCCTGATCTAGATGAACGAAGAAAAATACCGGAGAAAAGTGAAGATACGTAGGACAACAGGTTTATTCGAAGGAAAAATAAATATGGAATTAACAGATACAACATATTTTCATCGGTGACAATTTCATCCTCGTGCAGTGCCCATGTAACATTACTCAGTCGTAGGACATTGCAAAATGTTGATAAAAAGATGGCGGTGCAGTTCACCTGTTATAATATATACATATGGGCTGCAATATCATCATTATATCGCTGTGCATCGTATGGCATAAACTGCTGATGTTCAAGATCTAGCAACCCAACAACGCACTGAACTAAATGCCACTGAGACTGCCACCTTCAGATAAAGAAGTGACGTTTCTACAGGACCACACCACACATTGGCGGATCCGGGGGGGGGGGGGGGGGGGGGCATGGCCCCCTTCAGTGGGCCCAGATATTTTTTTAGTTTTTGGGCCCCAAAATTGTGAAGGGCTTCAAAAAATTATGGGCATATTTGACATTTAAAGGCCTTTTTTGGCCAATTTATCAAAAAATGGGCCTTAATTTTCAAAACTTTTCCAGAATCAAAATTTGCACCCCCCCCCCTGTTCATTTCTAGACCCGCCACTACCACATCCTCTGAAGTGATCTACAATCATCGTGAAAACTGGACTTGTTTATACACTGTACATAATGAAATCTAAATTTTCTTCTAGAGCCATTTGAGACCAAATGCTTTATTCAAATCCTTATATAACTGTACATATCTAATAATATTTATTGGTATTTGCTCATTTGTGATAATAGTACGAGGTGAATGTACATTGAGACATCATTAATCTTTCGTAATATACTTCGCAGATGCCATTTCAACCTGAAATCGAAGTTGATAAAATTGTTATAAAGTACACTTGACATAAGACTATAGTGACCTTAGTGTTTTTTCTCGAGTAAACAAGGCAACAAAAATAGTCATGTCTCAAATCTAATGTCGAACAATATTTACTTTTACCCAATAAACTTTGATTAAAAATTATAATTGTTTTATTTATCATATGGGTGCAACATAGAGTTCCGAATGCATTGTGATGTTATATTTTAGGAGATATCAATTGTTTAATAGAAATAACATTTATTTCATTCAGATCGAATGTAAGATTTTACTCATTTTGATGGCACCTCTATCATAAATTTCCCAATTAATCAATTTTAGCTTTACTTACATTTTTGTTGAAAGCAAGAATTGTTTCATTGAACTTGAGATCGACTTTTTCAATAAAAGTATCATACATCGTACTAAGAGCTTCTGTTCTTTTTTCCATTTCCTTCTTGATCGTCATCTCATAATCTTCGATCTGTAAATATGATGCAAAATGTGTAAGTATTGTGAAACAATGGGACAAATACATAAAAAGTTTCTGAAAGCATTAAAAATACAACATTTTTTATGTTATCTTGCCACTAGCTAGTTGCCACACTGTTGAACTGATGACTAGAAATTCAATTTTCTCATCATTAACCATCCCCAAAATAATTTCAATTTATGAAGTGGAGTTGTGTATTTAGGGAGATCATTTTCAGATCAAGATTATAAATGAATTTTGGGGCTTTAGTTTACTTTTCGCTGTGTGATATAAACCAAAATTGACAGACATTCCCAATAAACCTTGCCACATTTTACGACATTAAGGAAACATAAATATATTTGCCAAATTGATGATGTCATAGATTGTAAGTAGATGTTTCCAAGTAAAAATAGGATCACTTAACGTTAGTTTTGAGAAACCTTTGGATATATTGTTTATAAAATGGCTACCTATATATAAATCTTGCAAAATATACCCTATTTTATTGGGAGTTACAAAAGGTGGCAGGGCTTATTGGAAACCGAAGTTCTTTACCTCTTTCAGAAGTTCAGCACTGCGTTCTTGATAAGCTGTCAGTAGCTCTCTCTTCTCGCTTTGTAAAGTTTTTAGTGTTTCTGCAGGATCGGGGTCATTGTTTCGAGATCCAATTTCAATGATATGGTTGATTTTTGTAATATTGGTATGTAGCGTTTCTCTTAGACGTTGATCCTCACTTTGTTTTGGCTTCATGTATTCTGTAAGTTGACCTTGATAATCTCCGTTCACCAGGATAATCTTGAAATTTTCAAAATGAGCGTAATGTTAATTGTTACGCTTTCTGCCATCTGAATAATTTGCATGTAGAGAAAGGTGTAATGGACGTTGTTCATCATCCTTGGCCCCAAGGGTATTTCAACTTTGTATTTCAATGTTTCCTAGCTGATTTAATAGTCAAGCCCAATCCTGAAGTATGGTTGTTCAATAAAAATCCATAATTCAACTGGTTCTAACAACTAACTATCTTGCATGATAATAGAGACTTTGCTCAAAGTTTTGAAATCTCGTTGGAGTTTCATAACATGAGATGTTAGGAGATTTGCATTTTTAACCATAAAGGACTTGCATTTTGTATTTATGGCACATGTGAAGGGATACATACAAAGTGCATTACCTGTTTTCTGAACACCCGTTGGACAGCACGCCCAAAGTCTACTTTGCGGTTAGCAAGTTTAGTTTTGAATTTTTGCACAAACTGTTTGGCTGCATGTTCTTTCTCTCCAACTGGGTTTTGCTGCTCAGTATCGTCATGAGTTATTAACTGCTCAGTCTCATGGTAAGTTGGGTGTCCATGTATCTGGGAAATTAAAAAAGATTTAGTGTATGGTTTATTTTGAAAATTTTAGTGAATAATTGCATTAAAAGAAAACAATAATTTAGAAGGAAAATGTTTGCTAGTAACTTCAACTATTAAATGTGACAGTTCGCATAGTGTTATACTGGTATTTGAATCAACATATTGGGCTTACTTTACTTACCATATGCAACTGCAGAACCAAACTAACTGATAAATACAAGACAAAAATCATTATGATTAAATTAATTCTGAAATATGGGTTGTTTTCTACCTCCTCATTGAATTATCTCGTATTCAACGTACATGAAATTGTCAACATTCAAACATTGATATCAGTCGTTATCAATGATAAGACGGTTTCATGTATGTACGTGATATTGGTGTTCCAAATATTAGCAAGGACATCTTTAATCCCCGGGAGTAAATCTATTTTCTATTTGACATTGTTAACATTTCTGTATACTAAATAAGCTATTTGATCAAATATCTCATTTGTTTTTTTTTCAGGAAAATTAGTATTGTACAAAAGAAATATTGACATGTATTTTGAAAGATGGCTTCAAATATTCTATACTCTGTATTCTTTCAGATGAATCTTATCTTAACCTTTTGACTAGAAAACAGACAGCTTACTAAGGTTTTGTCATTCTGATACTCATAGCATCTTTCTGTTTCACTTGAAACATGCTCTGATATTATGAGGCATATTCTGTGATCTGAGCACATCAGGTGGGAAGAGTTATAACTGTCAATAAGTGTGATAGTTATCATGTAATCATTTACCTAATGTCAATACATTACATAATAGGCATTGTATTTAAAAGCAGATATTAGCACAGGTACATGTACACAAGTTTAATGACACCAATTAAATGAAATATGAGCTGGGATGAAAGATCTCAAAAATCCTCAATTTTGGGCTCTCCTGGATCGCCAAATCAAGCTCATTGTATCATGGCATCTCAAGGCTGAGAAGAAATAAGATGTCATGGTTTATCATGATGAGGTTTTGTGACAACTGTGAGTTTATCGTTCATGGTATCGCCTTTGTTTTTAGTGAGCTGTACTTTAATTCAAGCAAATTATGAAACAGGTTGATTGTGGGTTTCTCGTAATTTTCTAATGCTAAATCTGGCTTTCCTTGTCACTTACATGTAACTAACACCTTGATATAACTCATAAAAGTACAACAGCTCTGTTGTCTTTACTATAATACTGATTTATTCGTTTTTATGAGAAAATGTAAACTGATTTTGAAGAAGAAATTACAGCTAACACAATGAAAATATGTCAGGAATAACATACATAATGATTACACAGGAGGTACCATGATAAAGTCATACAAGAATTAAACATACTTCGTACTTGCATATCTTATCTAAACAAGTCGTTTTTCAGTTTGTACGATTTAAAGCATTTTAACAGGAATCACAATATATGTTGATATAAAATGTTTGAGCAAGTTTATTTTCTTGACTGGAATTTCCAAGTTTATGCATACTCCGCCAAAATCGTCAGCAATTTTCGTTGCCCTGTGAAACTAAGTCGGGCATGCTGTACGAGGTGATTCTCAAGGACCATGACGTCCTTGTGTTTCATCTGTGTCCCGACAGCGACCTCCCAGCTAACATCTCTGATATGCTGAACAACGCTCTCTGGAATAGGAGAGCCGTCTCCATATGCACTGTGAGTTGGGAACTGTTCGTCATTTATATTCTGTTCTTCCCATATCTTCTTCCATACTGGGTGGGATTTCCAAGCACTGGCGTGTTTTCTGTGGATGTGATTGAACCAAAGTTTTTCTCCTGAAAAATATTTCATTCGTTTGATAATTGCTAGATTTTAAAAATGGTACAGTTGAATAATTGATTACTACCCGACCATTTGCTTTTTTGCAAGGAAATTCAAAAATATGGAAATGACAACAACGATGGTCAATGCTACCATTTATCTGCAATGGTCCTTTTCCCATGTAGCTTTGGAATCTCGTTTAAGCCTCGTTTTTGTTGAGGTTTTAGGAGATCTGCATTTGTTAACTTAAAGACTAACATTTTCTTCCATTTAACATATACTTATCAGACGATTAACATAATAGCCATAGGATTGAGTATTGATCAGTTGATTCAATGAACACAGTAGAAATGGTTTTTGATGAGTCGCCCGGATAAATACCCAAATGCCATTCAAGTTCACTATTATTAAAAAAGCTCAATTTTTGATTTGTTCCTTTTTGCATTTCACGCTAAGCAAGTAACAAATGAAGCATTGAGACCCATAGTTATGATTAGATGTACTGTAAGGAAGGTTAACATCTGTTTACCTGTTATGGGATGATTTATGAATGCGGGTCTCGTCTGCCAGAAGTTTATAGAGCCATCTTCGTTCCAAATCCACTGGTTATCAGTCTCTTTGAGGTACTTCTCTGCTTCTCCTCTTTCCTCAGTACGGAACACCTTTAATTAAACTAAACTCTCATTAAACATCCCACAGTCATCATTACATTACCACTTAATTGTATCTATCAAAATGACCAAATGGAAATTCTGACTTTTTGAAAAATTATAATATTGCCACTCGGTATTAAAAACCTATTCAATCCCTCCCAGTAAATAATCACTATATATTTTCTATAATAACGAGACATATTAGAGAGGTTAAACTCCACTTTACAAAGAGATCTAGAACGTGTACGTGGAACGTATTATACTATGACGCCTCCTATTAGTGATTACTGTCCTTCTCTCAAATGGTTCCCCCAGTGACGTAATTACAACTATTTCTCTTATATCTTTTTAATGGGATAGTAATTACGATCAATGGGAAAACTAGTCCCTAGAGGACCATACTTCTACACGTTCACGTACAAGAACGTGTAGCTTAAACTTTCTATAGTATGGTGAAGTGTACCTCTTGCCAGGACTGATAGAAATCTTGACTTTTATCGGCTATATGTCTGCTGTATCGTATCCCAAGTTTATCAAACTTTGCAGCAACATCCGGGTCCAATTTCTCGAGAATGTCTCTCACGTGACATATGACACTTTCGCCCCCCGTGCCCTCCGGTGGAGGAACGTCACAGTAAAATAATATCTATAAAACAATCGATTTTTATATCATTATTTAAGATGGTAGTGTACTAAATTAGACACAAGTCAGTTGAAAATAAATCACTTTTCTATGTTAATTAGTGAATTTCTCGCTAGGTTCTGAATTAATTTATTCTGTTTTAACACGAAAATTGGCTATGCTATAACACATTTTGGTAACATTTTGGGTAAGACAACGGCATAATGCCAAATTAGTTTGAGCTTCATTTAGTCATGTTAGTAAAATCTTGTACATAATATCACACATTACATACGTGATCTTGATATACTGGTATACGATGAATTCGTCTAATACATTGTCATACAGCACTTAGGTCAAACTCTTTCTATCGATTAACATTAGCCTAGCTCTTATCATAAAAAACAATTCTTCTGTAAATAGGTTCAAACTAGTTATACAGACAATATAGGTGCACAAACCAGTTTTGGCCAGTATGACATGTACGCCATTTCATTATGGGGCTCAATGGTCCATTCTGGTGGCTCTCTGCTGGCTGTGTATACATTCTTGTTTTGGGATCCAACTGTGTTTCTAACTGCCGCTCCTCCTTTGTAATCCATTGACTTATATGGGCCGAGGTTATTAAAAAATTCCGCAAAGTCATCGTGATTTTTGATTGGAAAGTCCCTGTATAATATTGCACCGTATTTCAGCAGCTGATCCTTGAGTTTTTCCTTGACAGCTTCTGCGCAAGCTTTGGGAGAGTCTGTTGGCGATATGCCAGCATCTGTACCAGTCACGAGTACTGGGAAATTCTCTCTAGGCTCTTCAAGATATTTAGGGAAGTTTTCACCCTCGCCTCCTGGCATGAAAGGACGACCAGCCAACTGTGCGGCTCCTCTAGTTTGCAGCCAAGCTGCCCCTCTCACAAACGCGGTTATGGAGCGAATCATTCTTTTACATTCTAGGCTTCCTATCTGCTATTAAATACTAGTACGCATTAAGTAGGCAAGATCGATAGTGCCTGTATATTTAGTTGAACTTATATATTATATCTTCCAAGTTCAGCGTGAACTTGCGATCTCATATCTATAATACAAAACTTGAAGTGGTGTACTGTTGTACCTTATGGGGTCAAAGAGAGCGTTCGTAAGCTTACTTGCTGTCTGTATCACGCACATCCAGTACACATCCAATGAATCCTCTTGGAACTTACAGGCAAATCGAAGCTTGTAGAGTAAATATCCTTTCCAATAAACCCTGCCATCTTTTGATCTATCAGAGAAATATGATATATACCCGGGGATATACGAGGGTTGTCGTAGAAGTAATGCACTATGCTCTAACTTTATCAATAGTTAATATTTTTCCATAAAATTTTCAGTAAATGTTCCTTAGAGACATTTTGATTATTCTACAAATGTTCATGTTTACTGATAAAACTATATTGGTGTTATAATAGAATCAAGTTAGTGAGTTTGGCTAGGGTGGGGAAGGTTATACAGTCACGTCAAAAGGAATAAAAATTGAAAATATGAAATAGTTATCAACAAATACCAATTTGTGTAGCTATAAAAAGTATGCTCAAAAATACATTTTAAGATAGAGCACATCCTAGACTAAATGGATGTATGTTGCACAGTGTCCCATTTCACATTTTTCAAAATATTGCTCTTTGCATGTCACGCACTTTTGATGCCTGTCAGGTCAAACACTCCTCGCAATTTCTTTCATGTGACTTGTGGAGTTTTTGCCTTCCATGTTTGGAGTTGTCATCCAGGGTCCAGTCATCTCTTTTAAATCTCTTCTGCTACCTCATAATTGCAGTTCTATCTACTCCTTTTATACTTTCTTCATGGTAGCATAAGTTTTGCGTGGCTGTGGGTCCAAGTGAAATATGAAATTAGGATCTTTTCATAATTAGAAAAATTGATACCTGCCCCGCCCACCCCTACCCCCATGTTGCTATAGCAACCATATTAAGACTTAATATTAATGTTTGATGCTGAAACTTTAGGATATAATAGATAAAACGTCAATTATTATATACACAAAATTTCAGCTGAATTGAAGAATATTAAAAAGAAAGTTAGAGCATATAGTGCATTACTTCTGGGACAACCCTCGTATATATAATATTGGCTATATCTGATGGTGTCAATGGTTGAAAGTAGATATCCATGCGTCCATGCATGTTGCAGTTCAGGATAAACTAGCTTATTACTCATTTTCAAAAAATACAACCGTATCATCAATCTAGCCATCATCAATTACAGGTAGCCTATCATCGCTTTTTGATATCATGTACAGTACATACAAAAATGTGTCAGAGTTTATTGTAAAGGTCTACTCTAATACTCGAGTAGTTTCTGCATGTTAACTCCTGTGATAAGTCCCACGAAGATGTTATAAATATTGAACTTGGAAAGAAATTATGGGTCAATTTTATTTTAATTTTTTGTGAAATTGTTCAAACTCTTAACTGGTGGTTTCGGGAAGAAGCTTTTACGAAATCTCGTTCGTTATTCAATCGACCAACAAGACAGTCATCGAATCCCGAGTTTGAATGAGTTGATACTTAATCTTATTCTTTATACGTTTGACCTATATACTTTGGGGTACTTAATTATTTTAATTACCATTCATTTTAATTACCGACAACCGGTTTAAATGAAGATTAGACCTTGCTATGTCGTGTTTTAAACGTGTGTTACTAACAAGAACCATCCTTTACAAAGTACCTAGTACTATCTAGTGAATTTGTAACAAAATCTTGTCTCAATAATTTTTATTTTATTTATATTTGTTTTAAAATTATATAGAAACCAAACACCAAATTAATGCAACCTCGCGGAGAGTCCTTAAAATGTCCGAAGCAATCAGACATTCCTTGCTTCGATCAATACTCCTATCCAATCACTGCCATGGATACATGTTGATCCTGCATCATCTCTATGACAATTAACATGACCTCCAAAGACCATCATGTCCCAACAACCAATCCGATCAATCGGGACACACAACTGTCCTAATCACCACCGCGAGCATAACAAATCAGTGCAACTTCGCTACAAACAGTCCTCCAATGAAAGCTGTGGATACAATCAGTTAGTGCAGTCTCGCTACACATAATCCTGCTATCACTGCCGAGGACACGACCAAAGCAAACTGAGTAGTCCAACGGTCGGGAAGCAGACTAGCAGTACACAATTCTTCTGGAACAATTGAAAACAATTTTTGAACATTGAAACCATCATGCGATTCAAATAATAACGTGACCTTCAATTTGGTGCATACTGTTCCCACCATGATGATTTGATAAATCATGACGTCTCAATTCTTATCAGTCATGATATGACATGATTGTGCTGGTTAGATTTGATGAGATCTTCATCTCATTGGTGAGATCTTCTTTCATCTATTCAGCTGTCATTGTTGTGGGGATTAAACTCCCTTTTCCATGTTACAACATATTTAGTGAAGTTACAATAAAATACAACAATGTATAGTAAATAATGATAACCATGCATAACACTTAATGAGAAGTTGTTATTCTTCCCATCGGATGAGCAAAAAATGTATCTCTTAAGATCAGAATTCCGATGAAACAGAAAGGTATGTTGGTGTGGATTTCATAATAACTATTTCCTGGTGTTCTTTGAAATTATCAATAGGCTAGGCCTACCTGGTAAATTCATTGCAGTCCTTCTGGAGGCATCCTCGACCCAATCCAACAAGGCTTTTTGTTTATAATACGCCGCGGGCACCGGTCTCATGACAGGAATGTATCGTGCAAAATCAACATTTGTCCCTTGTTCACAATCTTTGACGCTCATGGTCTGTGTCGCACTAGCCTTAGTCTCGAGTCTAGGTACGTCCGGCCCGTCGACACTTGTTCCGATTGTGTTTGCGCTAGGTGGAAAGCATGGATCAACAGAGGTTCCAATTTTTGGATCAACACACGATGGATCAATTGTAAACGGTACATCTGTCTTCCTTTTCCGTCGTCTAAGTCTTCTTGGTCGCCGTCTCTCTTTAGTATCCATGCGCTTCATGGTTTCGGTATGATCTGTATCAGAACTGTTATCAACTCTCGTTTCGCAATTCTTTTGCCCAAATGAACCAATTGTGAAACCATTTTGTTTCCTGTCTACGTTGCACCCAATTTCGTTTCCAACATTCGTTGCACATGCACAATTCCAAACTGCCTTCATACTCGCTTCATCATGAACAACTTCACAACTCCTTTGTATTCCAGTAACTGGGTGAATATGACCACGAGGACATGGTGCAATTGATTCTTGATTGAGAGCTGAAATGATAAAATGTGCTTTGCAAATGGCATTTTGTGTATTCCCGTCGAATATGGTTCAATAAAATAGAAATCCTATAAGTACTTGAGTCGATTGATTTTTAATAACGTTTTTGGATTTTCTAAAATGCAGTAGCTCTTGGGTTTTCCAAAGATTTCCTAGGAACGATTTTATTATAAACTAAAAAAACGCATGGCATTGTGTGTGAACATGTCACACATTTATTAACCATATGCACATTACCTTTCTTAATCTGTTTCACATATCCACTGATCGCAACGAAGAAAATGCATCCAAATATCCCGATATTATTAATGGGCACAATCGCAGCCATAAGTATTTCCAACCACTCTGCTGCACAGTCGAGTAGGCCATCTGAAATGTGTTGAGGGGCAAAGTTGTTTTTAGGTTTTTCTGGAAGTGCGCAACTAAAGAACAGGATTTGCATTTAACGAAAATCTATTTTAATTTAAAGACTTGATGGTTGTGCAAACTTGTGCCAGAAACAATAATTGGATGTTTTGGCCCTTTTTGTAATTATCCGCAAACTTAAATGATTGGTTTTTAAATAATAACTTTACTTGCTATGTTGTCGACGCTTACCAGATAAATACGAAGACGTTGTTCTCTTTGTACTTGTACCTGGCTTTTGTTGTTCGAACCTAAAATGATATTAGATAAAAAATTCCAGAGGGAACGTGGACTAGGAATTTTTCCCTATTGTAACTCACAATCATATAAATGTATTACTCAAAACATACATATATTTTTAGTACTCACATTTTTTGTGCGCCTGTTGGTTCGACAATATCCGCAGTTTCGGCTATCACCACTAATAGTAGGAATAACACGAGAAGAATTCTAAAAGATGCCATCATTGCTGGTCTCCAGTAGAATGAAGATTCCAAACACAATATGACGTAACTATAGCAATATCACGGACATAATGGTATCACGTGATATTAGTGCTTAACATTTTCGTTTTGTGACGACATCAGACAACGATTTTCTACGAACATAGGTGTGTGACGTCAAATATGTTGCTCGTGAGATATTTTTTGTTTTCAATACAAAAGGAAAATGTCAAAATGATTAGGATGTATACGATTCGGTTTGTGGAATCATTGAAATTATGGAATTGATGGGGGCATTTAATTGTAATTTTAAGAATACAGATTATTTCAACTACTGTGTCCTAGAATTTGATATAGCAAGCCTAGCAAATGACTTTGCCGTCAAATTACAATCAACATGATAGCCAGTTAAGGCCGTTATTTGCATTCTTAAACACAAGCTAAGTTCTAAAAACAAATAAGATGAGACCTATAAAGATCGCATAATGTAAAATAGATGGCAGTGGTATTAATTTTAAATAGTTGCAATTTTCTTTACTGGGAATTTAGTATTCGGTGATTATTTAAGGATTTGAGCCCATGGCACAATGCATCGTGATGATTTAAACAACTTATGTCTTATTTCCAGGCTTTGATTGAGTGCGCTAGATACTTTAGCAGTCACATTTGCCCCGGTAACCATGCGGCGTATTTTGGTTTTTGAGACAGAAAACTACGGTTGTCGTACGGCCTTTTAAATGATGACACAGGTTCACCGTTGGACGTCCCTCCGGCGGGCATAGCTGTTTTGACAAATACCAAGGCGACCGCAGGGGGCCACTCTGATGATCCTACGGTCAACCCAATTATAAGTTGAGCAATATAGTAACCCATAAAACCATAGAACAGCCTACACTACGCTCCTACGCTGACTGAAGAAAGGAAAAAAGTTATAATTTCATTAAGCGACTGTATATTGTATTGTATCCTTTATTACCACATTATTACTATGTGAGTACATTACAATTTTCAATATTTTGTCCAAACATATTTACATCAACATGTTGCGTTTTTTATACATAAAATAAATTGCCTTGGCCTTTAAAATCATATTAAAATCACCATCCTCTTTAAAAATCTGGAGTACATTATACATTTTTAGTTTTAGTTTACGAATTTTAGGGAACCACGGTCGAGAGGTACGATCGCGGGTGTCATAACATTCCGAAACATTATATTTTAAAGTAGTCCCAGTATTATTAATGTCATTGATCCGTCCCGCAGATTATGCCATCAAAAATAAAGTAAAAACATTTGAGGCTACATGTTTGTTTAATTTCTAATCTGTGTCTAAGAGTACTAGTTTCGCAAGTAATTAATTTATGGAGTGCTTCACTCTTCCGAAAAAATTATAAATATTCTTTTCACATTTTTTGACCTGTTTTAAGCTGTTTTCTTATTTTTCTGTATTTACATATAAAATAAAAAAACTGCTTAATAATTCCCCACTTATTCCAAGTATGTGCCAAGCCTAAGTTTCAATTGAGCATAATATTTGTATGTACCCCCATTTTACCCAGCGACCCCACGTCATCGACCTTAAACGACATAGTTGTCGGTGTCTGTGCCGCATGTGTACGTGTTCACATAGGTCGCATAACGTGTACTTTTCAAGTATTTTCATGTCATTACCTTGAACTCAACACGTAGATCGATGTTTTTAAATTTTTACTATACAATTGCATATTTGTTCAAACTGCACTCTCATTTGATGAGGAAAACATAAGGTCGATAACTTTACTTTGCCTAGCAATGTGACAATATTTTGTGCTTTTTAAGACAATTAAAATAGTTTTGGTATTTGTACACATCATGAGTTTATTCATATTATATTATTGTAAGAACCACAATGGCCAAAAAGGCGATAGCGAGAAACTCCCTTAGGGAAACATAAAAGAAAACACATTGAATAATTCTACAATCCACTTAGCAAATATTGAAGGCGCAGTTGCGGATACTTTGTTTGACTAACTTTCACAATGTTTAAGGCAACATACAATAGAGGTTAACTATAGGTATCGAAAACAGTCCCATACACGTTTAGAATATAAAGGGTATACAAGTGACCGACGTCATCCACACCAAACAGGCATTGTGTAGCGATATTTGCTTGGTATTGCAAAAATAACTTTGGAACAAATAAGTAGACCCAAACTTAGTAACTGTACTTTATTAACAATCACATATAGCACGTACTGGAAACGGATTATCATAATCCTTCAGTATACCTGTTATATTCAACACAGGTAGTTGAATCGATTTGGAAAAAATAAAGATCGGGGGAAGCATTGGAAAAAGAATGGATATACATGTCGATCCTTTGATTATTGTTTTAAGCCTGGAGCCGTAGTCGAGTAAAAACGATCAAACATACTCCTAGTCGATTAGCAACAGACAACAGACAGAAATCAACAGAGATCAGTGACTTGATATGACGTAAGTACACACGATCGAACGAAAATGCATCTCCAAGAGGATCCAGAGTGACAACACGCAATCCTAAAAACAAACAAAGACGAACTGAAATCTCCTCCAAAACGATATAATTCAGAAGGAATCGATCACAATCAAGGATACAACGCAAATTGAATTAAGTACGTTGGTGCACTGCAATTATCGGCATTGATGATTGTTAGAAATTACTTGCCTGCTGATTGTAAGATGTGAATGCAAATTGTAATACTGTGTTATTAGATGTAGATGTATTGTAAATGTAACATGTAAATGAAATAAGAAACGATTGGCACTAACAGCAGAATTAATTCGATCTTAGAGACTGGTATTATTAAAGATTATTACTAGAATGACAGCCTGTGTAGTTTTAAATAACCCCAGGTCTCTTATACTGTAGATGTGATGAATACACGGGATACCTGAGGCGGGATACTGACTGAATCAAAACTAGGAGTGACAACGACATCATATTAAAGGACCTTGGAGCTGACTCGATTACTACCAGCATTATGGGGGTCGGTGATGGTGAAATATAATGGTGTTTTAACCAAACAAATCGTCGTGATTTACCGACCTATAGGATCACAAAGATAAATTGTATTTGCCTTGCATCGAACACTATACCATACTTGAAAGCTATCAGTTTGGATAGTAAATATTACAATAAAGGATTATTATATTGTACTGTGCTTGTACATACATTTAAGGCACTAGATCACAACAAGGGTCGCACAAACTAGAGAATTGGCAGGAGGTATAAAGTGGACGTTACGGTCATCAACGGGGTGTGGGAGTAAAGCCCGGGGACTAAAGACGTCGCGCCACCCAGGAACCAAAACACAGCCATTAATATATACCTGTGTTTACAATTTAGCTTGTTTATAAAGATTCTCAACGCGACGACCAACGCGAAACATTGCGCCGATATAATCAAAACATTATCATGAAGAAACAATAGAATTGAGAAGAGAAGCCGCAGAGAACAACGTTACTTTCGTATAAACTGAAAAAGGAATTGTTGAAGCATGACATATCCAAAGCCTACGGCAGAGGATGTCGCAAAGGCGGTAAGTAGGAGTAGTATACTGTCACCAATGTATTATTGGATGGGTTTGGGTTTGCCCTGCAACTGAAGTACTATGAAAATACAATACAAAATTGAAATGCGTGTGACATTTAAATGTGAAAAGCATGACTCATTTGGAGAAAAATTGTTACTTATTTTCTCAGTTCTCACATTCTAATTAAGTTAAAGCAATACTATGGATATGCGCATCTATTTAATTCAGGGCTAGTAATTATTAATGTTAGACTATGTACTTTATGTATGTCTGTCGTTATAAAGTGATTGATTTAATACTTTAAAATGCAATTTCCGTTTTCAGATCAATCAGCTTACAGAGGCGGATAGAACAAGTGAGTTTTTAAAATTTATTATGACAATGAACAAATACATCTTACATTACGTAAATGCAATGTACGAAACGCCTTATAAGAAGTGCCTTATCTCACTTACGTAAAACTTGAGAAATCAGTTTTGTCTTGCATGTAGTATTATTACATGTGGCGAAAATATAGCCAAAATCATATGGCCCAATAAATGATGATTGGAAGAGCCCACACAAGTGCCCAAATATATCAAATTTTTCACTGAACGAAGGCTAGGAGATTGGAAATCTCTGAGCAATTCGTTCGGCGCTTTAGTGCATTGATTAAGAGAATGCCAATATGTATAGTAACTGTATTCCTTACAATCTCAAATAATATCTCCCAAAAGTTTCACAATATGTTATCAATTGGTGAAATTGTTTAAGATTCAAAGATGCAAAACTTTGGCAAAATGTTTAAATTCTCAACTTAAAAATGATAAAAAATGGATGGATTATTCTAAATATCTTTAGTTTTCCTCAAATAAAGTATACACTTATGGGGATTTCTAGAAAATAGACATGACGGGGAATGATGAGTCCACAATATTCTAAAATTAGAACAATTTTTATCGAGATTCCTTGCTAGAACCAGTATGACTACTAACATGGGCTTTCGACTAGATGATTGAAAGCCCATGCTACTAACTATACCTGATACTACCTTTAATATAATTATTCATATCAGTGTAATGTTCCGATGTTATTGGTATCATATCTGGTTATAACATATGAGATAGAATACAATATATAATATTGGGTAAACTAGGAAGTATTGATAAAGCTCAGAAAATGAAGTATTTGCAATTTTGGTAACCAATTTATTTGCCTATATGTTTTTAGAGTACACAAAGGCCTTCGATGAACTGGATAAGAATAGCGATGGACAAATCACAGTTTACGAGTTGAAACACCATTTAAGAGAAAATGGCCAACCTATGATTACCGAGAGGGAGGTGAAAGAGATGATATCATCTACAGATTTAGACGGTAACATATCACAAGATCCTCCTAGATGCTTCATTTCTTGCAATGTTTTCTAATACATTCCCCATTTGGACGCAATTGTACTTATCAAATCATTATAAATAACCATACTTTGCCCATATTACAATTCATATCACGAAGTTAAAACAACCTCCGGCTGTCGACTTACGGTTAACCTACTATTTAATGGCCAACAATAAAATAGAGGCTGTTTAAATAAGTTGGCTATAGAATTGTAGGTTAAACCGTCAGCCGTCAGTTGAATTCGCGAATGCTACCGTTATGTCACGAGCCAAATTCTCTGAGTATTTTGCATTAAGATAATAGTATTATATAGAATTAAAGCCCATATACGAGGGGTGATTCATAAGTCATGAGACAACTGTAACAACATCACTTACATTGCACGCTTTTGCA